GGTGGGATCTACCACAAGCAGCTGAGTAGCTGCCTTTGGGATGTGGTCTGCTTCCTATATATAAGGAGAAGCCTTGGGAATGGTCTCTAGCATATGGCACGCTTGGACCCTGCATGTAGCCATGTTGTTGCTCAGCAGCCTGCTATGCTCTGCCAACCTTGGGACTTACAATGGATTTAAGTTAATGACTGTGCCCTTTTTACTTGTCAACCTTGGGGTTTCTCAGCCTGAGCAGCCAGCAGCTGTCTGAGTGAAGAAACGCCTCTACCTCCAGTGGTTCGGGAACAGGAGGCAGAGCTGAACCCCAAGGCTGAGGGGCTTTCACCCAGCCCCTAGTGCTTGGCACTTTGAACTTGGACTTAAAGCCTCCAAATTGTAAGAATAAACTCCTGTTTGTTAAAGCCATCCCATTTGTGGTATATTTCTTGTCAGAGCAGCACTACATAACCAGAAGAGATGCCCTCTATCACCACTTCTATTTAACACTGTATCAGAAGTCGTTGCCAGGGCAATAAGGCAAGAAAGAGAAATAAAGGCATCCAAATTGACAAAGAAGAAGTACAGCTATCTCTATTTGCTGATGACATGATCCCATACATAGAAAACCCAAGAGACTCAGCAAAAAAATTACTGGAACTAGTAGAGAAATTCAGCAAAGTGGCAGGATACAAGCTCAACATACAAAAATGAGTTGGATTCCTCTACACCAACAAAGAGGCCTCTGAAAAAAAAGTAAGGAAAACAATACCATTCACAATAGCTACCAAAAAGAGAACATACTTAGGAATAAATTTTACAAGGTACACAAAAGACCTATACAAAGAAAACTATAAAACACTACTACAAGAAACAAGGGATCTACATAAATGAAAGAACATGCCTTCATCATAGACAGGAAGACTAAATACTGTGAAAATGTCAATACTACACAAAGCAATCTACATACATATTCAATGCAAACCCAATCCAGATTCCATCATCACTTTTTAAGGTCATGGAAAAAGTAATCACTAATTTGGTGTAGTGCCTAAAGCATTTGACTGCTAACCAGAAGGCTGGTGGTTCAAACCCACTAGCCATTCCTCAGAAGGAAGACTGGGCAATCTACTTCCATAGAGATACTGCCTTGGAAACCCAAGAAGGGGTTGCTACAAGACAGAACTGACTCGACAGCAATGAGTTTGGTTTGGTTTTTAATTTCATATGGAAAGGAAAGAGACCTCAGATAAGCAAAGCACTGCTGAAAAAGAAAAACAAAGTAGTAAGTCTCATACTCCCAGATCTCAAAACCTACTATATAGCCACAGTAGTCAAAATAGCATGGTATTGTACAATGACAGACAGCCCAGTGGAACAGAATGGAAAACCCAGAAATAGACCCATCCATCTATATGGACAGCTCATCTCTGACAAAGGCCCAAAACCCATTAAACGGTGGAAAGCCTCTTTAACAAATGGTACTGACAAAATAGGATATCCACTTGCAGAAAAATGGAACAAGACCCATACCTCACCCCATATACAAAAACAAACTCAAGTTAGATCAAAGACTTAAATGTAAAATCCAAAACTATAAAGTTCATCAAAGATAAAATAGGGACAAAGACTTCTCCAAAATGATAAAGAGAACCTACAGATTGGGAAAAAATATTTAGCTGTAACATATCTGACAAGGAACTTATCTCCAAAATTTATAGAAAACTTTAACACCTCAACACCAAAAAGACAAACAATCCAATTCAAAAATGGGCAAGGGACATGAACAGACACTTCACTAGAAAAGATACACGGGTGGCCAACAAACACATGAAGAATTGTTCATGATCATTAGCCATTAAACAAACAAAACCAAACTCACTGCGGTTGACTTGATCCCAACTCACAACAACCATTGCTTGGGTTTCCAAGGCAGTTATCTCTATGGAAAGAGATTGCCAATCTTCCTTCCAAGGAGTGGCTGGTGGGTTTGAACCACCAGCCTTCTGATTAGTGGTCAAATGCCTTAGGCACTACGCCACCTGAGATATCATCTCACCCCAGCAATAATAGCAAAGTTCCACAAGACAGATAATAACAAATGCTGGCGAGGTTACAGACAGATTGGAACTCTCATACACTGCTGGTGGGACTGCAAAATGGTACAACCATTGTGGAAAGTGGTATGGCCTTTCCTTCAAAAAGGAAAATAGAAATACCATTTGATCCAGCAATTCCATTACTAGGAATATATCCTGAAGAGGTGAGAGATAGGACTCAAACAGACATATGCATATCCATGTTCATCGCAGCAAAATTCATTACAGCAAAGAGATGGAAACAACCTAAATGTCCATCAACAGATAAATGGATAACCAAACTATGGTACAATCACACAATGGAATACTATGCAACATTAAAGAATAATAAAGAATAGGTGAATCACCTCACAATGTGGATGAATTTGGAGGACATTATGCTGAGTGAAATAAGTCAATCGCAGAAGGACAAAAATTGCATGAGCCCAATATTATAAAAAGTCAAGGAAAGGTTTACTCAGGGAAGGAAATTCACTTTGTTGCTTACTGGGGATGGGAAGGAAAAGGAGAGAAAATTTCGGACTAGTTGGGGCTCACACGTCGATTTGAGTGAGGGGAGGGATGGTATGGAAAGAGTCTGTGACCAGCATGATGATACTGGGGAAAGGAAGGACACAGAAACATGCACATAAGATATAGACGTCAGAGGCAAATACTTTTACATGCATAATACTGAATTACCACTAGCACCAAACACCAGGCTACAGATAAATGCATAGATAGTGAGAAGATCAGGTGAGGGTAGGTGAACAGGAATACACCCTAGACCAACGATACATCTGGCTGAAGATATAATTTTACATATGCAGTTGTGCTACAAAATTAGCCACTTACATTACAGAAGCAACAGAAGGCAGAGTTGGAATAACTTCTCAGAGATAACCATACACCTTGAGATAGAGAATCACCAGGTCTGTGGGCTCAGGACCATTGTCTTGGAAGGCATCATGATCAACTGACACAATGTAGTACCTAAAACTCTTGTTCTACAACCTCCTTTGGTGAGTAGTGACTATGGTCTTAAAAGCTTTCAAGTGACCATCTATGATGCAACTATTGGTCTCCTGTCATCTGGAGCAAAGAAGAGTGAAGAAAATAAAAGGCATCCAGAAATAAGGATCAGATGGACTATGCAGACCTCAGCCTTCATGACCCTGAGGCCAGAAGAACTAGTTGGTGCCTAGCTACCAATGCCAACCACTTGGAAAGGGATCAAAACTAGAGATCTTGGATAGAGTGGAAGGTAAAATGTGGAACAAAATTCAAAACCACAAAAATGACCAGCATTACCAGTCAGATAAAAACTTGTGGAACTCCCAAAACTATGGCCCCAGGTTACCCTTCAGTCCTAGAAATGACTCACTTCCATGGATTGGCTCTTAGCCCAACAGTAGAAAGACCTACATGCAGAACACCTACCCTAGGGAGATGCACCCACCTACCCGAGGGAGATGCACCCACCTACTCTAGGGAGATGCCCCCCTTGGATCAATCAGCCATGAGACACCAGAGAGGCAGCATTCATATAGATGGAAGCCTGGACAGACAGGAATGCACAGTTAAGAAGGACATATGGAGGGAGGAGTCACAGGGAGGGGAGTTTTTTATGATTGGGGATGGTAATCAGGGCTGTGAAATCAAATATGCGTGAACTATTGAACATAAATCAAATCTGCTTTGTAAATTTGCACCCAGAGCACAATTAAAAAAAAAAAGAAGGAAGAAAGAAATCTAGAACCAAACTATTGCCTGAGATCACACCTTTCAGTGAAATAGCAGAAGGCACATAAAAAATATAGGACACTATCCATATGATCAGTACCCTTCTTAAAAATATCAGCATGAGACCAAAAGGTCAATCATTTCTTAAAAGCAAACAAGAGGAGATAAGGGGACAGGGAAACTAGAGTACTGGAAAGGGAACAAACAGAACACAAAGAGAATGTTAGCATTCTGTGTTAATGTAACTAATGAAAATTAATTAATTTGTATGGAATGTCAAATGGGAACCTAATTTCCTGTGTAAACTTTCACTAATCAATAAAATAAGATACCACAAAACAAAAATCCTAATACAAACTTTCTATCCAAAGCTACCTTTAGTTTTTGGTAATATCAATTTGAGATTTTACAAAGGTGTTCTGGGTAAAGCTCAAGAAGCAGAAACTCTCAGAAATCTAATCTTCCAGCACACTTATACTTTGTTTACCTCTGGGGCAGCCTGCCTTTTGCTGGTATCTGTATCCTCCAAAATTTGAAAATAACTATGCATGTATTCTGCAGCCTTCTGCCATTCGTGTTTCAGTAGAGCTTCTTGGATTAATTCTAAACAAGCACTTGTTGTCTGAGCAAAATCCTTTTCCTTTCTTCCTCCAGTCACTATAAAGATAAAAAAGAATTTTTACTCATAAAAAAAAAAAAAAAACACACCAAGCCCACTGCCACTGAGTAGATTCCAACTCATAGTGACCCGTAAGACAGAGCAGAACTTCCCCATAGGCTTTTCAATGCTGTAAATTTTTACAGAAGCCGACTACCTCAACTTTCCCCCACGCAGCAGCTGATGGAGTTGAACCACCAACCCTTCGGTTAGCAGCTCAATGCTTTAACCACTGAGCTCCTTTCTAATCCCCAGTGACCCCCAATTCAACAATTCAAAAAATTTTCTTCTGGCAAGCAAAAGTTTTAACAAGCGGAACAGCAGATATTACTTGATGCACTCTATTCCTAGTATCAAAGCAGGTTCACTTGAAACAAACCCTTCCACAATGGTATTAGCTATTTCTGGCAAATAAAAAGAATAACTTATTTGATGTTCTGAAGTTACTGGAATGTTCTTGAGCTACCATTCACATCTGATTCAATCATCCTTTCATTCTTGCACTAAACAATCTTGGAAGCATCTCCCAAAGAAGCCCCAAAAATCACAGTCCCAGGTATTAAGAATGTGTATTAAAAATAATCAGGGTCATCCTATGCAAGCATGATCTTTACTACTTTCCAGTGTTCTGAAAACTCCAAGAGGTGAGCTTTCAGTTTTTAAGGACTGAGTTCCAGTAACTCAAGGATATTAAATGAGACTAAAATAGTTGTAGACATTAGCATTTACACCTAAAGTTTGGCAATGCCCATGTTAAAAATATTTGGGTTTAGTTACAGCCTTAATGTAAGAGTAACTTCCTATACCACCATAAGACCACTCCACGCCAGGAGTCTAACTGGTGGACCCTTACACCAGGGAGTACACAAAGACTACGGGCATGATGCAAAAATAGTTTAAAAACAATCAATTTTATAGACTTTGAACTTCCTAACATACTCTTTCATAAAATTAATCTTCTAGTAAACTGTGCCTGTGATCAAGCCTTCACAATCAAAATCACTATAATAGCCTTAAGTTGAAAACACAGGTGTAAAGTACTGAGAAAGAGAATGACTCTAACACATTCATTTGTGAGTCAGGTCATTTCCAATTCTTTGCTTATCAAAACTGAAAAGAAGGTAATAATTTTTATATTAAATCACTATGCAATTTCTTTGATGAGTAATTTAGGAGTTTAAAGAACTGATATACTACACTAACAAAAATCTATCCATTTTCATCTTGTGTGACTAAGGTTTCTTGGAATTTACATCAATTTAAACAAAAAGAAATAGACTTGATATTAAACCTTTTCTTTTTCTAGAAATACATATCATAAAAGTAACTAAGATAAAAGTGATACCTATTTTACTGATGGCTCTTAGCACCTGTTACCTATGGAAGATCTCCTGCGTGTGGCTGTCCAAAAAACAGCTGGTTGGGCCACACTGCTACTTCATGGTTACATCTTTCTCCTTGATCAGTCCTGAAGTACCTCAAACTTAAGACACTGCCACAATACAGACTATTGACTATTAATTCAAAGGAAAAGAACTCTAAAAGACAAAAACCTAGTTTTTAATAATTCACTTTTTTTTCACATATAACTAAAAAAAAAAAAAGTCCTCACATATTCACATCTTGAAATTTGAAGCTCTTCCCAAATTGGTTATTCATTTTGTAGCCATGATGAATTTTATTATCTCCTTGCATTAAGGTTAAAATGGTTAAATGTTATCTTACTTACCCACCGTTTCCATTTGCTTTCTGAGCCAGGGAATATACATTCCTGTACCAGAGAGCATTGATGTTTCCACCTCATCAGCTTCTGCCATGGGCCTTGTCAATTCGTCACTAAAATCACTCATACCTATTCCAAACTGAGAATAAGTACATCTTAATCCACATGCTTCTGAGTTATACAGAAAAATGGTCATCTTTTTATCTAATAAATATCATTTGATCAGCAAAATTTATTGTACTTGGTAGTTTCTTTAAAGTAAAAAGTGAATTTAATTATGTCAGCAACAGCCAAAATGAATGTTCCATTCAGGAGGGTGGGGGAGAGACACAACAACTCTATGTGCCAGGAACATCTAAAGATAAGTAAATTATTGTTCCTTCAATTAAAATTAAAAAAAAAAAAAACCTAGTCTAGAGGAAAAAACAGAAAACTAAGTAATAACATAACAACTGACAAGTACAATAGTAGTTGCTACTAATATTTTCTGGTCCTAAACATATGGCAGGCATATGTATTATCTAATTTAACTCTAAATTAAATAACAGCAATCCTAAAGATGGAAGATTGGAGAAATATTTGGAGGTAGTATCAACAGTACCTAGTAACTGAATGGATGTGGGGAATTATCGACAGGGTTCCTGAGCATCTTTGGGATAAAGCCCAAATTCAGCCAGGAATATGACTATCTTTCTAGGTTATTTTCCCACCAGCTGTTCTAACTGCATTTCACCACCCACCTCTGCACATCCTCCAAGCTCTAGCCATGACTAGTTTGACGTTCTTTTTACTTCCTAAAAGCAGCACCTCAGTTTTTTCAACATTAAAATGGAGGAAAATAATAATAACCAACGCTTAACTAACTGCCTAAGTCACAAAAAGTGTGTAGGCAATATTCTAGGAAGTAGAAAGACATCAAACAGCTTGACAGGGCTGAAGTGCAGAAAAGGGGAGTGTGGAGGAAGGAGGCAAAAGGCAGTTGGAACTGATGATGAGAAACGACCTAGAAAGTCATGACAGGGTGTTTGGACTTGAACCTGAAGATGCTCAGGACCTCTCCCCCTAATTCCTCATATCCAATCAATTACTAGATATAATTGATACTACTTCCAAATATTTCTCCAACTTTCTTCTCTCCAATTCTACGCCACTACCCTAGTTCTTGTCCCCTTCTAACTGCCTTGATTACTGTATTCGCTTTCGTTACGCTGCCTAAAAATTTGCCTCTCCATATTACAACCACAGTAAACTTTGCAAAACCAAATTATGTGGTTAGGAGCATTAATTTTATTTATAAGTCAAAGCTGAATCCGATCAACAACGTATTTAAAAGAAGTCGTTACAGAAGTGCTCCGTTTCCAAATTCGCAAAGGCTCAAATGGGTGTCACACAATTACCACTGTAACCAAAGTTTTTCCACCCTCTCTTCCTCGTTCTCAGAATTAAGGTTCTAGGGCATCAGGAGATAATATCAGAACACGAGTGAATCCTAAAACAGCCTTTCCATTCCACTTTGAACGCAAGCTATGAATGACGGACAACGTCTGCAATACCAGTCTGACGAAGGTGGTTCCAGGGTAACGCGAAACTGTTCCCAGGCTCTGCGGAACAGCATCCGAAAATCCTTACCGGAAGCGACGTCAGCCAGAGTTTCCTCTAAGCTTGAGAAAATTAGGCCTCCGGCGCTCGGGCAGAGCGCAGACGTAACCCCGCCTCTAATAGCTCCTTCAGCAGTGCCAGCAACTCTGTCGACACCGGAAGTGGCTGAAACCGATGCGTTCGTGATTGTTTATCTTCAGGTTAACGTTTTTGTCTGTCCTAGCCAGAAAATGACTTTAATTGCAAATGGACTTAAGGAAAGCGGAGGGCGACTAGGCGAGAGGAACGATAAAAAAAGCAGAATATCACTTTACATGAATCATTCACAATACGATGATCGCTCATTTTCTGCTGGACTCAGGTGCACCACGCTACCAGAGGCGTGGCTGCTGGCACTGACAAGATAGATTCTTTAAATTACTTTCTTAAAAGCTTTTCTCTTTTATTAAAATTTTATCTTTGACCTTGGGTAAATTTAAGTGACTACCTAACCATAATTTGGGCTGGAACTCCATTTTCCTTCTCAGCTGTCTTGGACCACCTTTCATTAGGGACGCTGATAGCTATATGGGATGGGATGGAAAGTAAGATGGTTGTACCATGTAAACAACCACCACCACCACCCCACCCCACCACCCGGGCTCCAAAAGAAAAAAAAAAAACACCGCCATGGAGTGGATGGCGACTCATAGCAACACCCTTTAGGTTTTCCAAGGTGGTAAATTGTAGATTGCTCCATCATCCTTCTGCAGAGCAGCTGGTGTGTTTGAACCACCACGCTTCTAGTTAGCAGTCAAATACTTTAGGCACTGTGCCACCAGAGCGCCTTTATGTCATGTAAATTGATGGACAATTGAGGGATTCTAGAGATGATGCTCCTGGAAAAGTAGAGACGTATGGGATCACAATGTTGTTGTTATTGTTGTTTGCCGTCGAGTCGGCCCCGACTCATAGCGACCCCTCCTTGGGTTTCCGAGGCAGTTATCACTACGGAAGTAGGATTGCCCAACCTTCCTTCCGAGGAGTGGCTGGTGGGTTTGAACCGCCAGCCTTCTGGTTAGCAGTCAAGTGCCTTAGGCACTATGCTACCAGAGCTCCTGAGATCACAATATATGTCTCCAATATTTGGAGGGCTGAATCATGAAAGAAGGGTTAAACTCCTTTTTCAAAGCATCACAGTACAGAACTAGTGCTAACTGGTGAAAGTTAAAAGGGGCAACTTTAAAGTCATTCCAAGAAAGAATTTTGTTAATAACTAAGCCTCTACAAATAATAACATAGGAACCCCCAAGAACCTTTGGGTTTCCCCCTCCCTAGAGTGAACCATTTGGGCAAAATCAGGGTAACGTTGTTGTTGTTGTTATGTGCCGTCGAGTCGGCCCCGACTCATAGAGGAAGTAAAACAGTTTAGTAAGACCTGTACGGGGATTCCTTGAGATGCGATGGATACTTGATTCCATGTAGTCTTAGTAAACACTACAAAAGTCATGAACTTTCTAGAAAAATTCCTCCTGCTGTCCCTTGTGTCATAAGTGCTTGGCCCCACCTGAGCCTGTGCCATAACTTCAAAGGCAGGGCTAGTCTAAGTCACAATGTGGTCCAGGAGGGCACAGACAAAAAAGAACACAGTCATTAACCTGATTTATATCCTTGTCTTACTAGGTTTTGTCATGAGGTATAATTTCACCAAGCTAACCCCAAAGTAGTTATATGTGGCTGGAAATTAATCATCTTCTTCTTGTTAGTTGCCATTGAGTTGGCTCTTAACTCATAGCAACCCTATGTAAAACAACGAAACACTATTTGGTCCTACACCGTTTTTACAATCTTTATTTGCTTGAGACCATCGTTGCAGCCACTATGTCAGTCCATCTCATTGGAGTCTTTCTCTTTTTCACTAACCCTCTACCAAGCACGATATCCTTCTCCAAGGACTGGTTCCTCCTGATAACATGACCAAAGTATGAGAGACCAAGTCTGGCCCTTCTCACTTCTAAAGAACATACTGGCTGCACTTTTTCCAAGACAGATTTGTTTGTTTATCTGGCAGTCCATGGTATTCTCAAGATTCTTTGCCAGTACCATAATTCAAATACATCAGTTCTTCTTCAGTCTTCCTTACTCATTGCCCAGCTTTCACATGCATATGAGGCTATTGGAAATACCAGGGCTCTGGGTCAGGTGCACCTTAGTCTTCAAAATGGCATCTTTGTTCTCTAACACTGTGAGAGGTCTTTTGCAGCAGATTGGCCCAGTACAATATGTCATTTGATTTCTTGACTGCTGTTTCCATGGGCTTTGATTGTGAATCCAAGTAAAATGAAATCCTTGACAATGTCAATCTTTTCTCCATTTATTGTGATGTTGCTTATTGGTCCGGTTACTAGGATTTTACTTTTCTTTATGTTGAGATATAATCCATACTGAAAGCTGTAGTCCTTCATATTTATCATTAAGTGTTTCAAATCTTCATTTTCAGCAGCAAGGTTGTGTTACCTGTATATCACAAGTTGCTAACGAGTCTTCCTCCAATCCTGATGCCACATACTTCTTCATGTGGTCCAGCTTCTTGCATCACTTGATCAGTATACAGATGAATAAGCATGATGAAAGGATACAACCCTGATCCACACCTTTCCTGATTTAAAACTATGCAGTATAGCCTTGTTCGGTTCAAATGACTGACTCTTTGTCTATATACAGGTTCCTTATGAGCACAAAAAAGTATTCTGGAATTCCCATTCTTCACAATGTTACCCATAATTTGTTATAATCCACATAGCCAAATGCCTTTGTATAGTCAATAAAACACAGGTAAACGTCTTCCTGGTATGCTCTGCAAGATCCAGCTTATATCAGCAATTATACCACTCATTTTCCATCTTTACTGAAAATGGCTTGAATGTCTTGCAGTTCCCTGTCGATGTACTGTTGCAACAGTTTTTGAGTTGCTTTCAATAAAATTTTACTTGTGATATGACAACCTTTGGTAATTTCTTCATTCTGGGGATCATCTTTCTTTGGAATGGGCATTGATACGAATCTGTTGCAGTCAGTTGGTCAGCTAGCTGTCTTCCAGATTTCTTGGCATAAATAAGTGAGCACCTCCAGTGCTGCATCCATTTGTTTAAACATCTTAATGGGTGTTCTGTCAATTGCTGAAGCTTTGCTTAACCAATTCCTTCAGTACAGCTTGGACTTCTTCCTGCAATACCATCATTTCTTGATTATATTCTACCTCCTAAAATGGTTGAATATTGACCAATTCTTTTTGGTATAGTGATTCTATATTCCATATTCCTTCTTTTGATATTTTCTGCTTCATTCAGTATTTTGCCCATATAATCCTTCAGTATTGCAACTGAAGGAGTGAATTTTTCTTCAGTTCTTTCAGCTTGAGAAATGCCAAATGTGTTCTTCCTTTTGGGTTTTCTAACTCCAGGTCTTTGTGCATTTCATTATAATACTTTTCTTTGTCTTCTTTAGCAACCCTCTGAAATCTTCTGTTCAGATCCTTTACTTCATCAT